TTATACTTATCTCATTACCTTGTTATCTTAGCCCCATAACTTCATCCAAAACAAGACTGTTTCTTATTTGCCTGTAGCTATGCCTTTTTCTGAAATGTAATAGCCGGGAGAAGTGATTTTGCCTTGGGCACTACAGAAATTGTGCCATCAAACACACTGAAAGTATTCTATATGTATTTGTGAAATCAATCAATCATTCCTACAAATACCAATATTAGCACTAAAGTCTCTAAAAATTAGATTTTTTTTCTGAAGGGAAATGAAGAAGTAACCTCATAGACAAAAGTTTGCTCTATAATAATAGCCACTTTTTTCCATAATTGGTTTTTATCCTAACATGAAATTTTTAATTTACTGTTATTCAGATATCTATGTAGGTGATAAAAATCAGGGACAAAGGTGGGAAGGGGATTGTTCTGCTTACCACTAGACAGACTTTGGCTTTTCTTTGAAGTGCTAATGATTATCAGATTGGAATTCACACATATTTACTTCCATACCTTGGCAAGAGAAGCCTACTTTCTCAAAAGAGAAGTATGAAATCAAATAAGACAAGTTATTAAAACAGTTTGATCTCTATCCTTTGCCTAAGTTTCATCTAAAGAGCATGGAGACCATGGGAGAGAGGGTTGAAGGAGAGGGGAGAGGAAGTGAAGGGAGCAGAGAAAAATGTATAGCTCAATAAAATCAATTAAAAATTGTATTTTTACATACAAAAAAATAGTAACAGAATGCAAAAGTCTCTAAAGTGTGCTTATAAAGGCGTTTAAATAAAAATAAAGTAAATAAATCTTACATAGTTACCGTGTCAAAACAAATCTTAATTTGATGTACAAAGCCACTGGTTAATATTGCTTATTAATATTCCTTATAAATCATGGGACCCCTTTAGATTAAAATGTGTTTATTTTAATAATAGAAACATGCTAGTCTCTTGTTATATACAACTGAAATTGTCTGTTTCTTGCTGAGATCTGAATATTTGTATCATCCTAAATATGTAAGTCGACACCCTCACCCCCAAGGTGGAAGATAATAAGAGGAGGGGACTTGGGAGTCTGAAGAGTTATGAGACCCACATCCTTAAGAGTGGGATTAGTGTCCATAAAAGGCTCTCATCAGCCCCCTTCTGCCTCTTATAAGGTAAGGACACAGTTAGATGATGTAACTTATAAGTTACAGTTAGATGATGCCATCTATAAGGTAGAAAGTGGGGGACTCTTATCAGACAGCCTTCTGGTGTCTTCGTTTGCCTTGTCAGCCTCTAGAACTGTAATGAACACTCTTTGTCACTTGTAGGCTGTTCTATTCATAGGGTTTTGTTAGAGCAGCCCGGTGGACTAAGATCTGTAACTTGGCTCAGTGGTACCAACTCTTTTAGGTGTGTTCTATTGATATCATAATGTCTTGGGTATGGAAATGGAAACACTGCAGGACTTTTTTAAAGAATGTATTGATCTTGGAAAAGTTGGCATTTCATGTGAGTGTATGACAACATACTAAGCCACCTCAAATTTGGTGGCTTGAAATAATAGGCATCGTTTTAGCTCATGAATCCTGATGTTTTCTTCCACCTTGGGCCACCTCAGCTCAACCTGGCAGCACTTACTGTTACTCCATGATCGCTTGCCATACAGGTCTGAGGTTGCTCTAGTTACCCAGGGTCAGACACCAAACAACTGGAGACCACCCTTCTGCTCTGCTGAACTGATCCCAGCTAGCCAATCTCAACCTCTTTTTCTCGGCTCTACTTGTTTCTTCCCATAGAAGCCAGGAAAAGGCACTTGCTCACCACCTCCCTATTCCCTCTGCCATCTGTCTGGCCTCATGTACCTTCCTGTGGCCCCATAAAGTGAGATATGTCCTGTAAGAGGAGGCTGCTTGTTTGTCCCAGCCTCCCGGCTAGCTTCACCCCAAAAATGTCCCTCTTCTTAGATTTTTAGTAATGATCTATTTTTTTTTCAATGATAAACATTTTCCTGTATTGACTCCAGCATTCCTTAGGGGGAAAAAAAAACCACTGCATTTTAAAAGAACTGGATGGGTCCCTTCATCCTCTAGCAATTCAGCTGTGTGTTGGCAAGATTCCAAGAGCAGCTAGTTAAATGCTGTCCACACCCCACATAGTGTTTGCTGCTCTATTATCTGCTAATGCAGGGCCCTTGGACCCAGGGACAGTCTGTGTCTTGGACTGTGAGCAGGGGAAAGGTGTAGCTATAGGGAGGGGTGTGGCATAGGGAGGGTGTGGCATCGGAGGGGTGTGGCATAGAGAGGGGTGTGGCTATAGCCAGGGATGGATAAATTCCCATCAGTCATTTCAGGTTTCAAATAAGTTTCTCCTTTTCTTTGATTTGAGTAACCTTTAAAATTTGACCCCTGAAACAAGCAAGAACTATTCCCCTACTCTGGGCAAATGTGTTTTCAGCTGTCGTGAGCTAAGGACTGTTATTCACAGGCTAAACCTACAAGCTGAGAACTAAATTCCCTTTCATTTAAGGAAGTGTCTGCTTGTGACTGGAGAGATTGGTCCATATGAATCACTCGAGAATATAATTATAGTCATTTTAGTCAAAACACAGAGGTGACAGTAACCTTAAACCGCCACTCACGAAATCCTTTAAACTTTAAATATAGTGTCCCTAAAATTCTCATTATTCTGGATAACTAACATGGTCAGAAACCCTTTTGACTAAGACTTATAGACCTTTTTCTGATAATAGGTCTTTCGACACTCTTCAGTTTTCCTTCCAAACTAAACCACTTTAGCCTTTATAGTGACATTCGAAATGTAATTTTAAACTTCCTCCATCCACAGGTCTTCCTTTTACCATTCCCCGCCATTACTGTCATCTCTGAGCAGCCTGCTGCTGCAGGGAAGTGCAGTGGAGACTCGAAGTCACCCAGGAAAAAGGAAGAGAAGATAAATAGGAAGAGGTTGCCAGGTCTTATTTCCTCCTAGTTTTAGCCTGTCTCTGAGAAAAAGCACACACAGCCAACAAGACATTTCTGCTCTCTCTACTGTTCTTCCCATTCCAAAACTAGTCATGAAGAAGAAAACCATTGGCCCTTTCTTTTAAGAGCTCCCTTGATTATTTTCTTAGTAAGACAATGCTAAATTATTCTTTTGTCTCAGTGGTAATGTGTATTCTAGCCAGCCTATGCTGGAGTCCCTACTAAGCACAGAAACTTCAACAAGCTAAGCTGTATGTTTGCTTTGACTTCTTAACAAGTAGACGTAAGGATCAATAAATACTAATCCTTAAAGAATTCCTGGTTGCCTTGTCCCAGCTGTGACCTCTGCCCCAAGAATGATCTGTTACAAGACGAATGGGAAATGCAGTTGACATAGGCCAGGATAACCGTTTGCGAAGGGATGAAGGTTTTATGCTACAACCAATATGGCTGTCACCATAGAAGTAGACGGATAAAAATTGCTTCTTGTTTGGATAGTTGGATCTCAATTCCTGGCGCTTTTCTTTCTTCTCTTCTGGGGTGCGGTGGGATAGGTCTGGGTAGGAAAATATGGTCTCCTCAGGAAAACTTTAACATGAACCAACATGAGGTTTGGATATATGCGGAGCCAAGAAGAAACAGTCTTTTACCAGCTGCAGGGGAGAGAGAAGCCTGGAGGCCAAGGGCCTATGCGCAGTACCAAGAAGAGATCTGTGTGTACCAACTCTTGAACAAATGTCAGCCCAACGAAATTCACTGTGATTTCCAGTGTTTCAAAAGTAGGAAAATTTGTTACTTTGTCCATAGATGTTTTTACCAGAAAGATCATGTTTATTGCTACTAACTAAATAACAAGGTTGCCATGAGGGTCAAATGAGAGAAGGGGAAAGTAACTCTATTCTGGGCCTAGGAGTTACCTATGCTCATTCAATATCACTTGTTAATTCAAAAGCTCTTTGGGAATTGAGTTTTGTAATAATAATTAATTTTTTCAAAGTATGGCTCAGCCAATCAGCTTATTGATCAGTGTATTGTCAGTATGCCCCTCCTTGGATGTTTCTGACCTCACAAGACTAGGCTCTCGCCTATCACATAGCTTCAATCTTGGCAAATATTTACCGATCTCTATGAATTAATATTATCTCTGTAAAACAAGGTAAACTGCCTTCCTTTGCTAATTCCTGTGGACAAGTTTTTCCTCAGTATCACTTTATCAGACAAATCAAGCTGTAAAAAAGAAGATAATGTGTTTTAAATCACAGAGAGGTTTTCATGTTTTATCTTAGAAACATTTCTAAGGCAATAAAAAAAAATCACCATTCTTTGATTTCTTTTATGCAAAGATCTAAAGGAACCAGAAGGTGTGAGGTTTCAGACGAGAAAGACAGAGAACAGCTCAGCATCCTTTCTGTGGAAGGGTCGTGCCTCTGAGTGATGGTACAGACATGCCACTCGCCTGGACTGAGCCTGAAAAATCTCTTTCTGTTTAACTCATAAAATTGGAATACTATTATCTTAATACTTAAAGTAATACTTTCAGGATTATTAGTCTTAAATTTCTACTGGATATATTTCCCAGGATTTTACTTTTGAATGTAATTGACGAGAGAAGTGAAGATAGTTATCAGTTTGTACAATGCCAGCCTGATGGCCTACGGCATGATAAACACTAACTGTGAGGCCCGGGATATGGTTGTCCCACTTCAAGAAACCCAGTTTTGTTGATTTAATACCAAACATATACCCTTGAGACAAGAAGGATCCATAGTCATGGTGTTGCTCAGCTTCTGCCTTTGAAATGAACCCTGAGGTACATCAGAGGCATTTAATTCAAACACATAAGGCTCCTCTTACAGACACATGCTCATGTGCACTTCATATGTAGCAGTATAGGATCATGGGCATTTCCTAAAGCAAAAATATGATATCATGTAAATAAATCAACTGCCAGGGTATATGAAAGTCCGTAAATGCATTGCCACTGTCTCATGGCTTTCAGAGTCCTTTTGCAAGCAAGGCCCCTGACAGCCTTTCTCCTCTTTCTACAGATGATTTCTCTCAACGGGAAGACGACGATCCACCAAAAGAATATGATGCGGGGCAGTTCGCAGGCCTTCTCCACGGATCCTCTCCAGCCTGTGAGTCCCCTGAAAACCCTTTCCAACTGTATGGGAAAAGAAATCCATGCGAAGATGGACAAGATGAAGCCAGTTTGGCAAGCAGCCCTCTGCCTTTCAAACCAACTGCAGTAGAAAATAAGTCAGAGACGGTGGTAAAGAAGATTAAACCCAAAGTGGTCAGTAGAACAATTTTCCACAAAAGAAGCCACCAACTGGAGAACCATACCATCGTTGGAACAAGAACATCTCGGAGCGGATCCCGCAGCGGTGACCAGTGGGGTGCAAGTACAGGGGGCTTTGTGGAGAGAGCGTGTACTCTGGGGAGAATACGGTCGCTGCCTAAAGCCCTGATCGACATGCACTTATCCAAAAATGTCTCTAAGTCCGACTCTGATCTTATCGCCTACCCTTCCAAGGACAAAGCGAGGGTTAACTGGAGCGAGTCGTCCACGGCTGAACGCAGTTCTAAAGATAATTCCGAAAGGACGCCTTCATTCACGTCCGAATGGGAAGAAGTAAGCCGAACTTTTATCGTTGCTCTTGGTACGGGCTTCAGAGTTGAGTGGGATTTGGAGGAAAGGTGTTCTGTTTTTCAAAGCTTTCCGAAGCTGAAGTGGGAGGGGATGGGATGGGATGGGTAATGAACTCATCAGCTCCAACTGGAGGGGAAAGGTTCTCCGGATAATAGACAGTAATTTCACAGCAAGTGGAAAAATGAGCACATTTCCACACGCTTGGGGGACATTTTGTTTCCATAAAAATTGGTACCAAGCAGAAGTAATAAGTAGCTATGAAGTACAGGAGAATGCTACCATCATGTCCCACAAGGCACTGACTATGGCTGACAGTTTGAAAAAAAAATCTTATTTTGGAAGAAACAATTATTTTTCTCTATATTGTTATGCTACTTGCTAAACTTTTTCTTAGCGTTCCTTCCTTCTTATATCTTCAGAACAGATCCTTATGAGTCTAGCCTTAGTGGGAAAGCTGGCAGTCCTGACTCTTTCTCAAGAACCATGCTACAGATAGACATCATATAATATTTCCTATTTGCAGCTCTCGGTGGCACATTAAAAGAGAAACGCATCTTGGGGTCAAGTCTCACTACTTCAGACTCCACTTAAAGACAAAGTCTTTAATCTGACAGAATTACTCAGAAAATAAAGGATCCTTTGTAAAACTATGCAATCTCTTTTTCCCTGGGGGAAATCACATCATAAAATAGTAATGCTTCTTGCTCTTTCTTGAATTTCTTTAAAGAATGGACCAAGTCTCCATCAATAGTTCATTCTAATAGGTCACATTTTTGTTTCTGAGGAGAATATGCCAGGAAGATTTAGCTTTGAAGTACATGAAGTGACTATGGTAGTCTGAGAACCGGAAATAGACCTGACTCTGATAATGACTTTCTGAATTGGTCTGTTTGGGGGGGGGGGGAAATCACTTGATGTCCCCGCATATTTTTCACGGTGAACAAACTAGAAGTTAATGTCCATTGTCCTTTTGAAACTTTCCATTTTGTTCAGGTGGCTAATATGAGGAAGGGGCAGTTTTCAGTGTCTAGCATTGAGAGTTTGAGATCTAAATTCCAAACTTATATACTTATATTTTTTATTAGTATATCCATTTTTAAAATTTTAACTCCAGAAATCTTGATTGGGATGCCTTCTTGTGAGGTAAGCTTAAAGCATTTAACTTATAGACTTAAATTGTTTTGATGGCTGTATTCTTTAATTAATGCCACCAACTGGCTTGTGGTTGCTCAAATCATTTAGTTAGAACTTGACTCCCATAATCGTGTCCACAAACTGAAACCCACCTTCCCCAGTGAGTGCTCGTGACTTCTGGGAGAAGAATGAACACAGAGAATGTAGACCTTGACAATGAGCCCATCCTTAGACCTTCTTTGTTTGGGTTTAAGGAATTCATAGTTCCTAACTTAATGAGTTATCTATGCATAAAAATAGATAAGTTGATAATTTATATATTTTTGAAAATCAAAGGATGTTTGCTTGCCTTTAAATCTTGGGCTATTGGTCTCTGAAGTTCAGTTTGCTGTAGTAGTTAACACCAAGATAATATGCTTGTGGCACTTCACAGTTGTTTCTCAATGCAATGATGCAAATATAGGTAACAACCCACTTATATGGTTTTTACTTTTCACAGATTGACAAAATAATGAATTCTATTGATGTTGGGATCACAACGGTCAACAGTGAACTTGAAGAGATGAATGGTGAGAACATAAGTAACAAAACTGTCTTCTGTGCTATGGTTTATCAGTCTGCTTAAGACAGAGACAGAAAGTGATCAAAATCCTTAGACAATTTCACATTTTAAGATGAATAACAGTAAATTATTTCCTTTGGTTCTCAGATCCAACAGCCTAGAAACATCCACTGAGTGTATTGATTTGGCAAATTGAGAGTGTTTCCCATGTTGCTGTTTTACTATGTCAGTAAATATTAATTAATGAAGCTTCAACTTTAGGTGGAATGCAGCAGAAAACACTTCAGAGTGGTGTGAAATCTGATGATTTAATATGTGGGTTTTCACTTAGTGAAATATCCCGTTTATCCTGACAAACGTAATTAACAACTTGTATGTCTTAAACACCATTTGGCAAAAACTGTATGTCCTTCATCCTCTTCTACCCCATCCTGCCGAGGAGAGTACCTCTTGCGGAGTTCATTTACCATTACTATTTAATACGTCATATTTTTGTTTTCCTCTATACAATTACAACTCAAAGTAGAAGGCCATTTGAAGCTTTTTTTGCCAACTTTTTGCTTACCACTGATAGATGATGCCAAATACCAGATATCTGTGCCATTAAAACTTTAAGATTTCTTTAAAAACTTAAAGAAATTGATTAGGTTACATTGTCAGAGCACAGCCTGGGGTGAGTTGAATAAGGAACTTGCCTAGCAAACAAGATTTTATGGGGTACAAAACAACATCGTTGTCAAAATGCAAGGTATTTTAATAAAATATTTAAAAATTTCAAAATTAATAGTTCAAATCATTGGAGAACAAATTTAAATAAAGACAAGCTACCACTGCACTGGGATAATTTTAAAGTCTCCTACTGTGATTCCCAGATTGGCTAAGAGCAGCCACTGCCTTGTCAGGGAACTGGCAGAACCACGGGCTGTGACAAATCACGTGCTGCTTAGCTCTCAGAGCTGCAAGATGTTGCGCAGCCATTGAGGGATGTTATTGCTCCTCCCCAAGCAAGCCAGGTTGTCACTCAGTGGTGTAGGAGGAGGCAGCTTATCATTTCCTGGCCACTCAGACTCCCAAAATAATCCACACAGAAACTACATTATTTGAAACACTGCTTGGTCATTGACTTTAGTGTATTTTAAGCAAGCTCTTACAGATTAGATTAACCCATTTCTATTATTTTATATTTTGCCACAACCAAGGCCTACCAGCAAAGTTCTGGCTGGCAGCTTGTGTCTTTCTCCTCCAGCGCCTCCATGGCTTCTCACAGATTCTGCCCTCTTTCTCCCAGCATTCAGTTTAGTTTTCCCCGCCTAGCTAAGTTCTGCCTTGCTATAAGCCAAAGGAGTTTCTCTATTCATTAACCAATAAAAGCAGCACATAGACAGAAGTACCTCCCACACCAGTGGTGCAGATGAAACAGTGGTGCAGCTTTCCTGCAGCCTAGTCGCATGTCAGGTAAGATGGGAGTGGGGTGGCTAACTGTGTTGGGAGAATAGGGACACTCTTCCTGCTCAATCGCAAACTTCCTCTGCCCATCAGATCCTTCCCCATCCTGTCACTGCCTGAGATTGAAATTCTATATTAGATCACTCTATACCTAAGTCAGTATCCTTGGAAATTGGCAGCACGTACCAAGAAATGCATATAACTTTCAACCTTGATACAAGGTGAGTCTAGAGCCCCCACAGCTAGTTCTATAGCATAATGACCATTTCCATGTTAAACAGGAAGAGTGGAAATAATATACCTTGCATAGCAAAGGCATGAATTTCATAGCAAAAGCACATCCATGTGCCATACACACACACACACACCAAATTTTTAAAAAGTCTGATGTCTTGTTTCAACATTCTCAATTGCCGTATTTGAAACATTACAAAAGGGCTCCAATCTTACCGTCCTTAAAATGATAAAGCAAACCCAACATTTCAGTATTAAACCAATCCACAGACTGTCCCCTCGGTTTTCTTTTCCATATCTACTTTTGGTGTCCAACCCCCACCTTTATTTACTAGTTTCTGCAACGGCTTTGAAAGGAGAGTGGAGACCGCTCAGAGAGTCGTTACTATTGACAAAGCCTGGCTCTGCAGGTGCATTAGTTCTACCTCTTAATTACACACCAATTATCTGCTAAGTGATTGGCCATAGCATGTAACATTCCAACTGGTCCTTAGGCTGGCTATAAACCACAGCTCTAGCAGCCTGCTGCCCCCACCCACCTGCACACACACTAAATCCAGATTTTTCTAAAGGAGTGCTAGCCACCCTATGAAGATGTCATGCCACAAATAACATTTTGGGTAAGGAGTGTGGGCGAGAATCACATAGTGAAATGAAAGTCAGATAGAAAGACACTGCTGACTATTACTGCTGTCTACTAGCCGCTTGATCTTGGCGCACTTAAAATGAAGACACTAATATAGGATTGGGGTAGAGTCATAGGCAGTAGCATATGGTGCCAGATACGTGCAGATGTGTGTTAAATTCTAGCTCTCACCTTGAGCTACCATGAGGAAGATTGTGTTTAACGTGATGAATATAGAAAATAATAACAATACTAATAATACCTCTAAGCCTTTTGTAAAGTATCTTATGATATTAACTATTCTTATAATCTTAACATTAAATTTGCTATAATCCCTGGAACTGTCATAGTTTCTCAACTGAAATAAAAATCCACTAGACAACTCATAGACAACCAGAGAAGGCCAGTTACCTTAGGGAAAATGTCCAGAGAACCCTGACAAAGAAAAGAGGAAAATATCTATTGATTGAGTGAGTGAGAAGAAACACTATATTCGACAGTATGGATTATCAGGCCCTAGAATTTAGCTTGGGAAGGCCAGTGAACATTAATAAAGGTTGTGAACATTTGTGACATTAGTTGCTTAAAAACTCAGAGGGTGATTTCACGAATAAACTAAGTAGTGGAGATGCCTGAGGGAGCAGCATAGACACCCCATGCTTGCTCCCACGTGGTCTGCTTCAGCACTTTTAAGTGCCCCCCTCCCCAATATCAAGTATTTACATATTTACAGTTGCAGACCAGGAAGAAAGTTGGATCGCTCTCATCATCAGTCCTAAAAATCTGAGACGGCTCAGCTGGGAACTCTGTGTGACTCGCATGGCAATAGTTCTGCTCAGTGAAACCAGGTTTCTGAGGGGCCAAACTCCTCGCTGATTATATAGTCATTTGAAACATAGCCAGCAAGCTCAGCTGTCCGAGATTGAGGTAGAAATAAAACCAAATGAAATTTACTGAATTTATTCTTGCTCGGCCCTCGGGTTCTTACTTCACATGCACAAGCATGGCATTTTCGCAGGCTTGTCTGGTTTTCCACTTGAAGCCAGATTCAGATGCCAGACAGATGAGGCCTGGCAGTAGGGTGCAATGGTACTGACCACCTTGCGCCCGCCACACCCGCTTGTTTGGTGCTGTTGGACATGTGATGAAACAGTGGGTCCTGCATCATCGTGTCTGTACGTGCTAGGCTTGCAAGCATGGTATTCTTCCTGAGTCTGGGTTTTGAAATTAGGTTGCCCTGGCTTCAAATTCCAACTTTTCAGCTGACTGATGTTGTGGCCTCTTTGATATAAACTTCCTCGCCTATCAATTCAGGTTTTTAACAGCCCCCTCATAAGACTACTACGAGATTATACGCTGTTCTGCTGTAGACTAGAATGTAGCAGGCGATGAACGAAATGTAAATCCTCTTGTCTTCTTATCTAAGCATGCATGACTTACCTTTCTCGTTAGAGTGCGCGCACGCACGCGCGCGCGCGCGCGCACACACACACACACACACACACACACACACACAGAAAGACATTTGGAGAATCTGACTTGTCTTTCTGACCCATGACGATTGTAGCTGGAGTGTAAGGAAGCAGCCTCCCAGCAGGTTATATGTGGAACTGTCCTTTGACTTTATTAGTGAGTCATTGCCCTTGTCACAAGGAAGCTTTACTTCTTCAAATTCTCACACTTTCTTCCTGAATTGGCATATGGGTTTGGCAACGAACCACTGTTCATAGAGCTGTGTCGTCTGCAGCTTCTTCTGGGTGTACTGACAGTTTGCTCATCCCATCTAGGACATGCCATCAGTTTACGATTGTAATAATTGATAGATGGTTAACAAGAAGAATATTTTTTCTCCAAAAAAAAAATTCTCACACTTTCCAAGGATCTATTATAGTCCTCTTGATAAGACTGAGATCCACTTAAGTGGTAGTGACAGCCACCTCTTCGGGGTGTTTCTGTTGTCACACAACAAATACAGAGAGTAACCAAGCAGGAGACATTACAATACAAAGCAGCTTGTAAGTGCCTCCTACCTCTAAATAATTTCCATTCAGATAAACAGACTGCCAATGGATTAATGGATGGATGGATGGATGGATGGATGGATGGATGGATGGATGGTGTTAGGTTGAAATTCTATGACTGAAAATAGCATTTTATTAAGCTGTATTTTCGTGTTTATTTATTTAGTGTGTGTTTGTGTGTGTAAGTGTATATGTATGTGCATATGTGTATGTACATGTGAGCATGTGCATGTGTAGATGTGCATATGTGTGTGTGTTGTGTGTGGTTTGTATGTGTCTCTGTGTGCATGTGTGTTGTGTGTGTATATCTGTGTGTGACTTTGCATGTATGTATGTGTACATATACAGTTCAGAGGTCAACTTGCTGAAATCATATTCAGTTCCCTTCTCTTCCACCTGTGGTTCCTAGGGACCAAACTCAACTCAGCCAGCCTTTTGAGAAGCATCTCCACCCACTAAGCCATAAATATGTTTGGGGGACGAGAGGTGACTCAGTGGTTGGGATCACTGGCTGATTTTGCAGAGAACCTGGAGTTGGTTCCCAGAAACATGTGACATCTCCTAACCAGCTGCAACTCCAATACCCGGGATCTGGCATTTTCCTTCAACCTCCAAACACCAGGCAGATACATGGTACATACATACAATATAGACAAATATATACATAAAATAAAAATAACT